GACAAACTGCCAATACAAGAAGACAGTTTAAATTTTCCTGCTTTGCTGAAGAGTCTACCAGACACACTATGGCCTATGGGCTGAAGATGGAAGATTACAGAAGAACTTCAGGTGACTTACAAGGCAAGATGTCTCTGTCATTTCTAGAGTTTATATATTATCCTTCTGTGGTCTTTGAGGGAGTTGAAGACAAATAGTTATGGTTATAGTTTTCCCTAGTTAGGACTAAAGAAAAGTTACATAGACTTTAGATACACAAAGATAGGATAGATGTTGGAATAGTTTCTTAAATCTTGCTAAATGTTAATGGACTAAATAGTGTTAACTGTGATTCTTAATTGATAACTGTTGTGTGATATATTTTGCTATGTTGAAGTTAAATCCCTTCTTTTTATTTAGACAGAAAAGAGGAGATGATGGGAGATGTCATTGTGTATATATGTTTCTCATATTGGTTAATGAATAAAGCACCGTAGGCCAATAGGAAAGGAAGATAGGAGGGACTAGGAGACAAGGAGGAAAGAGGAAGTAGTAGGGAAGAGTCAACATGGAGACTGTGGAGAAAGCAGAATGTTGGCCGGCTCACCGGGAAGGGAAGACCACATGAAAATACATAGATAGCAGAAATGGGTTAATACTTAAGACAGAGCCGATAAGAAATTAGTATCGGGCCAATAGCATTATATCAAATACAGAGTCTCTGTGTGTTAATTGGGGCCGGTGTGGTGGCAGGACAAGGCCAGCATCGGCTGGAGGAAAAGCCTTGCTACATAGGCATCACCTCAAGGTAAAGGGTTGGGAAAAGATCTTTCAATCAAATGGACCCAAGAAGCAAGACAGTGTGGCTATCCTAATATCTAACAAGTTAGAATTAAATCAAAATTAATCAAAGGATATTAAGGCCACCATTTCATATACATTGCAGGAGAAATACATCCACACAAAGTCTCAATTCTGAACATCTTTGTACCAAATACAAAGGGACCCACATTTTTAAAAGAAAACACAACTAAAACTCAAACCTCACATAAAACCTCACACACTTATAGTGGGAGAATTCAAAACACGACTCTCACCACTTGACAGGAACACCAATCAGAAACTCAACAAAGAAACAAAAGAACTAAAAGAAGGTATGTCTCAACTGGGTTTAACAGACACCTATAGAACATTCCATCCAAACACAAAAGAATATACATTATTCTCTGCTCCTCATGGGACCTTCTCTAAAATAGAACACATTCTAGGTGGCATATTAAAACCCATCAGATCCAAGAGAATTAGAATAATCCCCTGGATCTTATCAGACCTCCATGGTTTAAAATTGGAATTCAACAACAACGGAAATCATTACAAACTCATGGAAACTGAACAATGTGCAATTACACCACACCTGGGTCAAAGAAGAAATAAAGAAAGAAATTAAGGGCTTTTTAAAATTCAACAAGAATGAGGACAAAACATACTGTACTTTTGGGATACATTGAATGCAGTGATACAAGTGGATTTCATTGCTTTAAGTGCCCATATTAAGAAAACAGAGTATAGTAACATTAGAGAATTATCAGCACAACTGAAAGCCTTAGAACAAAAAGAAGCAAACTTGACCTGGAGGAGTAGACACCAGGAAATAAACAATTTGAGGGATGAAATAAACAAAATAGAAACCAGGAAAAAATACAAAAAATCAAAGCAACAAAGAGTTGGCTTTTCGAAAAAATCAATAAGATAGACAAACTTCTATCCAACCTAATGAAAAAGCAGAGAGAGAACATGCAAATTAACAAAATCAGAAAACAAGGGGAACATAACAATGGACACAGAGGAAATCCAGACAATTATCAGGTCATACTTTGAAAACCTGTATTTCACAACATTTGAAAATTCAAAGATAATGGACGAATTTCTGGATAAATATCACTTAACAAAATTAAATCAAGAACAGACAAACAACTTTAATATACCTATAACCCACAATGAAATAGAAGCACTCTTCGACAGCATTCCAACAAGAAAAAGCACAGGGCCAGATGGCTTCAGTGCAGAATTCTACCAGAAATTCAAAGAAGAACTAATATCAATACTCCTCAAAATATTCCACACAATAAAAACAGAAGGTTCTTACCAAACTCTTTCTATGAGGCCACAAAGACACAACTAAGAAAGAAAACTACAGACCAATGATGTACACCTGATGAACATCGATGCAAAAATACTCAATAAAAAACTGGCAAACCGAATCCAAGAATACATCAGAGAATTCATCCACCATGACCAAGTAGGCTTCATCCCTGGATTGCAGGGATGGTTTAACATAGGAAAATATATCAATGTGATACACCATATAAACAAACTGAAAAAGTAAATCCATATGATCATCTCCCTAGATGCTGAAATAACCTTCGACAAAATTCAACACCCTTTCATGATAAAGGTCTTGGAGAGATCATGGATAACAGGAACATGCCTAAATATAATAAGAGCAATAAACAGCAAACCAATAATCAACATCAAACTGAATTTAGAGAAGCTTAAAATGATAACACTAAAGTCAGGACAAGGACAAGGTTCCCCTCTAACTCCATATCTCTTCAATATTGTTCTTGAAGTTCTAGCTAAAGCTAAAAGATAACAAAAGTAGATCAAGGCGATCCAATTTGGAAAGGAAGAATTCAAACTGTCTCTATTTGCAGATGATATGATAGTTTACATAAGCGACCCAATAAACTCTACCTGGGAACTCCTATAGCTAATAAAGACCTTTAGCAAACTAGGAGAATACAAGATAAACTCAAAAAATCAGTAGCCCTACTTTATTCAGACTACAAAGAGGCTGAGAAATGAATCAGAGAAACATCACCCTTTGGGATAACCAGAAACAACCTAATCTATCTTGGGGTAATGCTTATGAAATGAGTGAAAGACCTATATGATAAGAATTTCATGGCTGTAAAGAAAGAAAGAAAGAAGATACCAGAAAATGGAAACATCTCTCATGTTCTTTGATAGGTATGATAAATATATTAAAAATGTTAATCTTGCCAAAAGCAAACTACAGATTCAATGCAATCCCCATTAAAATTCCAGCACAATTATTCACTGACCTTGAAAGGCTAATAATCAACATTATGTGGAAAAACAAAAGACCCAGGATAGCCAAAACAACCCTGTAAAATAAAAGACCTTCAGGAGGCATCACCATCTCTCACTTTAAGGTCTAATACAAATCTATATTTCTGAAAATAGCCTGGTGTTGCAACAAAAATAGACAGGTAGACTAATGGAATCTGAACATTAATCCTGATATAAACCCACAAACCTATGACCACCTGATTTTCGACAAAATAGCAATGGATCACCAGCCTATAATTCACACCACCAAAGGAACTAGAATAGACGGTGTATTCTAAGAGATTCATATAAAGTCCCTCACAGAAGGGGGCAGGTACAAGTCCACCAGAGCACATGGGAAGTAGAAGGACAGTGAATGGATAGAGAAATAGGAGAAAGAGAAGGGGAGGAGAGGAAAGCAGGTGCGACTAGGGAGATTGAGCCAGGTAAGAATAGAAGACAGAACAGAGATAGAGAGAGAAAGAGAGAGAGAGAGCATAAAATAGTAAGACATTATTGGTTTGAAGAGAAAATTGTACCTTAAAAATGTCTAGAGACCTACAAGACTGCTGCCAACTAACAATTTGAGCAACCGTGGAAAGGCTACCATGAATGCCCTTCTTGGATAGTGAGATCAACAACTACCTTATCCACCACCATGGAGCCCTCAGTTAGTACTTGTTGGAAACAGAAGCAAACACCCATAACTAAACAAGGAGTCAAAGTAAAATCCAGACGCAGAGGGAGAGGACAAAATCAGTTTGCAGAAACATGTAGAGATAGATGAACTGAACAAGGAGGAGCTAATGGGCTCTAGACTGATACCTAGGAATCCAGCACGGGACTGACTCATACCCTCTGAATATAGGTCTCAGCTAGAAGGACTGAGCAGTCTAAGGGACCTCAGACAGTGGAAGCAGGATGTATTCCTGGTGCACAAAAGGACCTTGGGGACACATCCCCCATGGAGGGACACTCCCTTAACCTAGAGACAGGAGAGAAGTCCTAGTTCCTACTTCAAATGAGTTGACAGATTTACATGACCCCATCTGGATGGCATTGCCCTACATGTGGAATTGGGGTGGGGGGATGGGAGGGGGAAGTGGTCAGGGTGCATGTGAGGGGCGAGAGAGGGTAAAAGTGAGGGAAGGCGGGAGGGAGAGGGAACTGGAATCGACATTAAAATAAAAAAAACACTCAAGTATCCATAAAAAAAAAAAGTGAACGTACTTCATGTTTTTACTAGGATTTCTTCCCTCAATATATCTTATATCCTAAAATAAAAGCAAATCTGAAAAAAAAATTCCTGTCCAGTGACTTGGGCTTTTACTCTGTAGGATGGGGACAGGATCCAGCAAATAAGGCACTTGGAGTATCATGGGATGAGCCTGGCCACTCATGTAGCTCAAGGGGCTTATACATAGCCCTCTTCTACTTTCATTTTGTTGCTACATAGGGCCTTATACATAGTCCTCTTTTACTTTTATTTTGTTGCTATATAGGTTACTGAATGGAAAGAATAAAAGTATTAGTAGCTTTATAACTCCACTTTCTGATTAAAATCTGAAAGCTGAAAGTTAATTAAGTATTAATCAATTAAATTCAAACCTTTAATTGATGATGGATGACTAAATCTACAAAAGAAGTTAAAATAATTGTGATCACACCATTTATTTTATAGTGGTATGCAGTGATATTATGCCATTTTTTCAAACACTTTTAGCTCTATGAATGGGCGGGGCTGAGTATACCATTCTAGAATTCTAGAATGTGTGAGCGAATACAAGAGAAATTTAACTGTCAAAACCTTGTTGTCAAAACAGACAGAAAAATGGCCGCCGGCATTTGGGCTCTTCTCACAGATCTCCTCGTTTCCCCTTAATAACTACTCATTTCAAAGGATCCAAGACTAAGTTATCAAGGACCATGAGTTACACCAATCCTCTTCCTAATGTGAAGGGAATGACTTCCCTTAAAGTGGACAACCTGGCAAACCGCACTTCATACAGCACCCTGAAGCGAGTATTTGAGGCTTATGGGCCTGTTGGTGATGTATACATCCCCCAAAATCACTTAACCAAAGAACGTTACGGCTTTGCCTTCATCCATTTCCTCAACAAACGTGATGCGAAGAATGCCACAGATGCCTTAAATGGAATTTTACTGGATGGTTGCAAACTACGGGTCCAGATGATGCACAACAATGACCCACGGTATACTCAACCTGACTATGCCCAGAGAGGGCAACACCAATACGAGGAAGACAACCATGAATCCCAGAGTCACAGTGAAAAAGACTGTTGTCCCACAGACATGATCCAATCGACATCTCACAGCACATATTCTTCAGACCACTTACAATCTGGAACACAATCTCATTACTTGCACAGAAGACTATCATCAACCAGACGATCCAAGTCCAAGTCCTCAATGTCCAATCAGCAGCTGCCAGACAAGTCCCGTCCAAGGTCAAGAAACCTTACCCATGCAAAAGGGAAAAAATCTAAATCTAGATCTTCATGCAGGAACCCCTCCAAGTGTCCTGAAGGAGGAGGTAGGCCCAAATAGTTTAACAATTTCTCAGCAGATAGCCTGAGTACTGGGAAAGGTGGGGTTAAAGGGAGAAGAGGTTTATTGAGTTGAGGTTTTGGCAAAAGCCAATAGAAGTTGAAACAAATGATATATATCTTCTAGGATTTGATTGTAAACCTTTGATAAGTATTAAAGTTAATTTTATATTGCATTTTATTGCTATTTGAAAATTATAGTTCCCTATGAATTATAGGAATTTTAAATATTTCTTATATATTTAGGTATTTGAAATAAAACTCTATCTTTAGCATGCTAACTTTTTAAATATAAGGTTAATGGAATATTAGCATTATTTCAAGCTTCCTAAGTCAACGTGTGCTCTTTTTTCTTATCTAAAACTTGGTAAGTAGTCATGATTATTATAGTCTCCATCCTTTCATTTAAAAGTCCTTGACAAGTTTAACTGTACATTTGCTATATACAATTATATTTGGAAATATAGTTATTAATCACCATTCTAATGTTGATACATTTTGTTTTTGTATCAATCAAGCACAACTATATAACAGTTAAGGAACTATATTTAGCTATTTAGGTGGCATTTACAGTACTGTCTACTTGACCCCTTTATGTGTTCTACTTACTCCTATTTAATGATGATATAGTTGTATAGAGTCAAATGTCTGTCCAACTTGCTAGAGGCATGACAACTCCATGTTCAGTCATCCTGGCATTGTATAGGCAATGCAAAGAGTCAGGCAAATGATAAACATTTCTTTTCTTTTGCCTTCCAAAGTGGTATGTCTATTCACCTTTACTAAGGACCTTACAAAAATGGTTAAGAAAGTTAGTAATACATAACTCATATATTATATGCTGTGGAGCTTATTTGATTATATATTCCCTGTTATTATAGCTTTCTGAAGTTCAAAGTTTGCTGATGTTTTAAAAACCAAAAATTTTAAATGCATATAGTTCTAGTCTTATGAAATTATATAACATAGTTTGGGGTTATCCATCATAGATATTGTCTTGCAATGAATTAATAAGAAACCTAATTAGCATGCTTGAGAAAATTCAAGATGTACATATTTTAATATGGAACATGTTTTTTGTTGATTCAAGACAGGATTTCTCTGTGTAGCTTTGGAGCCTATCCTGGCACTTGCTCTGAAGAGCAGGCTGTCCGGGAACTCAGAGATCTGCCTGCCTCTGCCTTCCCAGTGCTGAGATTAAAGGTAAGTGCCATGTGTCTAGGCTGATGGATTACCCCTCTATGTGGAATGGGCTCGCAAAGTCCATTCGTATACTAGGTATAAATACTGACTCACTATCAGAGGCCTCATAGACTGCCCATTCCTTCCAACTAATGAAGATGATTCTTATTCAGACCACCCACATGGGCTTTGCATTAATTAATAGTGCAAGAGGATACTTCTCAGATGATGTGTGAGCAGGACACAGATGTCTTAGGAGTCATTTTGTTACCATGTTCTTTTTATAGATCAATTGTATTTTGTTGTATCATAGGTCAGTGATCTATCTAGTCTCTGGTTCTTGGCCAACTGAGCAGTGTTGCGCACAGGTGACATCTTAAGGACTGTATCTTAAATCGAACCAGACAGTGGCTGGTTTGTATTTCCACAAATTTTATGCAAATATCACAACAATATATCTTGGGGACAGATCACCATTGTAGAATTGTAGATAAAGTCATTGTGGTTTGGTCATTGTTTATCTTTCTCCTTCAGTACAATACAGAGTACCTTGCAGTACAATGAATATTAGCCAATAGGGGTAAAGGCTATATGTAGCTATCAGCTGAAATTCTCCACATTTGACGAGTTATTTAGGTGTATAATTGAAGAACAATCTACTATAGTAGGTTACCATATGATCCCTCAATTTGACCTTAGTTCAGATGTCCCTCTTCATAATTCTACTATAAACCCTATTCACTATCCTGTTCCATTTATTTTTTCCTGGCCAGTTTCCATGCCTCTGGCATGAAACCTACTTAGTCACAGTGATGATATTTCTAGATATTCTAGGATTGGGTTTTAAAATTTATTGAAAAATTTTGAATCTGTGTTCACAAGAGAAATTGTTCTAGACTTTTATCTTTGCTAAGTATTTGTGTGGTATAGACATCACAGTAACTGTGACCTCAAGTAAAGAATTGGGCAATGCTCCTTTTTGTTTTTTAAATTTATTTCCTAAGTTGTGTCTTGACTCAATTTTTATTCAGTAGTGGATTTCTCGGTCAGATAAATATTTTGTTGCTTCTTTTTTTTTCTTGATATACAGCTTTAATCTCTTAGAAATACAATGTGCTCTACCACTGTGGTACTTCTTTCCCCCCAGCCACAAATAGCATTTTTTAAACAGTTTGACATCCTTTTCACATAGTTTAAGGTATTTGATGGCATAAAGCCATTAAGATTTTATTTTAAATATTAGAGGAGAGGACACAACTGAAGAGAGTTTGTTCTAACCCAAGTGATTTTTCAAATATTATGATACATTTGAGATACAGATATTTTAGGAGGCATTCATAAGGAAAAAAGATAAATGGTCCTATACACCTGTAAATGAACATTGTTTGATTTAACTATGATTCCTTTAGAAGGGCATTTGAAGCATGTGTTTTATGTAATTTACTACTGGCATTAAAGCCCTATAATTTGGTTTACAAATAACTGGAACACAGCAGAACTGAAAAGCACCTCCTAAAAACAAATGCTCATAGTTGAAAGCCAGAGATGGGCAATGCTTATCAAAGTTAATTGGAAATACCTGCAATAGGTGAAATGAAACTTAATATTTGGCCCTAGTTTTGTAATGATGCTAAAGATAATTAGCAGCTAGGCATCTTAGAAAACTCACCTAAGCAGGGAGTCATAGAGGGGAAAGGTTTCAGAGGAGAAGGTGGAGGAACTGCTTCTGAAGTAGAATGAACAGATATGAATTCTGCTATTAATCATGACACAGAGAGTCAAAAAGATTAAAAAACTGTTTATTATTTTCACAATGGGGAAAAAGTCATTATTCTAAAGATAAAAGAGATCTGATAGTCATTCCCTCCCTAATGGAGTATGAAAGTAGGTATTACATTTTTTCACCCAGATGTAAAATGCATATTCATATATATTATGCTGGGAAAAGTAAGAAGCACCTTATTAATTTATTGTTGTTATTTATGATAGACATTACAAATGCAATGAGATGAAATGCTTATGTGGTGTTAATTTGCTTTACTCAGACAGAAAATGGTTGTAGACACTTTTGTCACACATTTATGCATTTTTATTTATTATTTTGAGATATAGCCATTGACTTCATTGGCCCATTTGATTTTGTGATGATTCCTTTATTTGATTTCTTTAGGAATTGTAGATATTATGTCCTTCCAATATTTAGAGCTGTAAATCACTTTTCCCCACTCTGTATGTTATATCCCTACTCTACTTTTTCCTTTAGCAGGCAACTTTATAATTTCATGAGTTTATCTTTTCTCAGGTCTTGATATTATTCTCTATATTAATGGAGTCCTTCCCAAAGATCTTTGACCACCACAGTCAGTTTCACATTGAGTTTCAAAGATTCAGTTCTTTCATTAGCCTTAGTCTTACTTTAAGATCTTTGAACTATTTTGAGTTTACTTTTAGGATAAAATACATTATCTAATTTCATGTATATAAGTTTTCCCAGGAAGAGTGGTCAATGAATTCCTTGCTCCAGTTTGTGTGTGTGTGTGTGTGTGTGTGTGTGTGTGTGTGTGTGTGTGTGTGTGTGTGTTTATGTGAATGTCTTTGTCAAAGGCATATGGATAGTTCAGTTAGGGCTTATTTTTGACTCTGCATTCTCTCCAATTCAGTCACATGTTAGTTTGCTTTTGTTTTCTTTGGTGGGGTTATTTGGGGTTTTGGGTTTTTCTTTTTTTGGCACAAGTGTCATATTATTGGTACTACAGATCTGTGTTCTGTGCTATACTTTGGAATCAGGTATTATAATATTTGTAGCATTGTCCTTTCTGTTAAACACCACTTGGGCTACTCAAGGTATTTTAAGAGTTCGTATGAATTTTAGATCATGCTTTCTATTTTCACAAAGAATTTCATTTGCATTGTCAAAGTTATATTGGATCGCTACACTACTTGGGAACTTACCCAGCTTTTATAATGGTTTCCAAATCAATGGTCATTGTGGAACAAGTCAATTTTGACTTTTTTCTCTTTTTTAAATAAATTTTTAATTTACATTGGAAACTAGATTGTTTACATGTCAATCCCAGTTCCAGAATTCTCCCACCCTCACCTGCCCCCCAAACAACCCCCAACCCAACCTCTTCTGCTCCCCATGGGGGGTGAGCCCTTCCATCGGGAGTCTTCAAAGTCTGGCAGGACATTTGGAGCAGGGACTAGGCCCTGCCTCATGTGTCTAGGCTAAGAGAGAACCCCTCTATGTGTAATGGGCTCCCAAAGTCCATTTGTATACTAAGGATAAATACTGATCCACTACCAGAGCCTCCATAGACTGCCAAGTCCTCCTAACAAACATCTACTTTCAGGGAATCTGGGATGGTCCTATACTGGTTTCGCAGCTATCAGACTGGAGTTCATGAGCTTCCCCTTGTTCAGGTTAGCAGTTTCTGTGGTTTCCTCCAGCCTTTCTTGACCCCTTGCTCATTATTCCTCCCTTTCTACAACTTGATTCCAGGAGTTCAGCTCAGTGTTTAGCTGTGGGTGTCTACTTCTGTTTCCATCAGCTACTAGATGAAGTCTCTATGAAGGAAAGGCATTTAAGGTAGCCTATCCAGTATAGCTTAGATTGTCAGTTGGGGTCATACATGTAGATCTGTTGACATTTCCCTAGTGTGAAATTTCTCTTCAATCCTATAATGGCTCCATTTATTATGGTATCTATTTTCTTGCTCTCCTCTATTATTTCCCTCACTCAATCTCCCTGCTCCCTGATGCCCACCTCTTCTTCCTATCTCCTTCTCCTCAACAAGACTAACGGTAGG